CCTTAAAATAATAATATTTTACTTATGTATAATTCTATATAGGGAGAGATAATAAATATCTGTGTTCTACGAATGTATCTAAAACGACAGTGAATTACCTTATTACCTCTTCTATCAAATTTCGTTTCAAAAACGATTTTTTTAGTATCGTTTAGTAACACTCAAACAGTTTCAAAATGACAGAACATAAGCTTTTGTGTAACCCATACTCCCAGACAGACAAAGAAACATATGCTAACGCAATTATAAATAGACAATATTCATATTAGTAAATTTAATTTAATAACACTTTTTGTAGAAAGTTTCTAGTAAATTTTAATAACATTTCTAAAGTATACCAACTTTATTGTTTTCAATTAATATTCGAAATAACTACCAAATGTTAATAGAATTATAGAACAAATCTGTTTTCTTTATAGATATCAACTTTAGTTCTCTTTGATGCATTGGGAAGATAAGTGAAAATTGTATTGTTTAAATACCAAACTATATCTAATGAAAAAAAATTAACTTAAGTAATATATACATAGAATATAAAAATTGTACCCAAAAATATTTTTCTAATAATTTTTAATTAGGACAAACTAATAAAGCCTCCGAGGTTGCGTTTCTTTTTTAAAACGTTTAATAATGCTCAAGCTTTCGGGTATGGTGGCCCTTCTACAGGAGCAATTTGCGTTGCTCCTGTAGGAGGGCCACCATACCCGAAAGCTTGAGCATTATTAAACGTTTTAAAAAAGAAACGCAACCTCGGAGGCTTTATTAGTTTGTCCTAAAGATTTCACAGAGGTTATAATATCGGAATTTTTAATTAATTATTAATTATTTTGCTTCCTCAGCTTTTTAATGGAATCAATTTATGAAGAATCTGTATATGATATGTCATGGAATTTTATTCGTTTTCTTCTGGGAGAATTATTTTTTTTATAAAGTTATCACAAATATTCTGACATTTTGTTAGGAAGGGATTCCTAGTTTTCAGTTTCATATTTTCTTAAAAACTTTTTTTCACATTGTTTCGCGTTCTTACGCAATTCTGGACTTAACTACCCGTTTCATAATTTTTCAGGATTTCTGAATGACTGGTTTATTTAATCTTTGAGGTGCAACTAGTACCACGCTGACGAGGGCCAACAGCCCAAAACGCCTATGTGGTTAGCTTTTCTTGATTAATCAAGAATGGGTATTTGGTCAAATCTGGAATAGTTGGTATTTATTCTGATAGATGGCCCAAGCCAACTTTCAGTTGCACGTAAAGAAATGCCTTTTTCTTTCTTAATTTATGCACCTTATCCCAGAGCAATATTATATTTGTAATATTTTTTTCAACATTATTTCCTTGGAGGTTGGTCTTATTGCTAAATGCGTACGCAGGAATTATTTTATATCGGTTTTAAAGTCCCTTAAATATTTTATGGGAAGAAAATTTATTGTTGATTTAAATATAGTTTCATTTATTATTTTTATTTTTTTATTCTAACATTTTTCCTAGAGAGTATACATGGTCAATAAAAACCAATATAAACCTGTAGTTTCTGATTGCGATTTGTAAATAGGCGTTTGTTTGTATAATTGTTATCGCCTACATTTATTGAAAGTAAGTCAAATCGTTTCTTCATTATTAAATAATTTTCTATATATTTGATTTTTAATAAATTTGTATTACTTTGCGCATAAAGTAATTAGAGTAGATATATTTTTAAAAAACTTTTTTTATTGTGCGTAAAAAAGAAAAACACCATTTTTCATTGCAAAAATATGTAATATCTCCATGATTTTGAAAAATATAAACAAGCCAATAATGTATTCGTTAAAATTTATAAAAGGAATTTATATTTTGATACTAAGATATTATATTTAAAAAAAAGAAGCTAATATAAATATAACATTGTGTGGTGAATCCCCAGAATTGGGTACATTTGGTAGGTGGCGCTGTACGTTGCCACCGCCGTACCTTAGAGGCGTTTTATACGAGTTAAAAATACAATTTCGGTGAAATACTTTGAATTTTACCAATTTAAATATATAAATTTAAATTCTAATTTTAAAAAAGTTTCAACAGTTAAAAAACATTTTTTTAAATAAAATATAAACTGATTTTTCTAAAAACGAACATTATTTTTTTAATTATCTGAAACTAACCTAATTCAACTTATCTAAAACTAACCGTATTTAGCGATTAAACTTACCTAATCTAACCTATCTGAAACTAACCTATTTTAATTAATGAAACTAACCTTTTTATAACACACCTTAAAATAACCTTTTTATAACACACCTTAAAATAACCTAATTTATAACCTATCAGAAACTAACCTAATTTATAAGCCGTCTGAAACTAACCTATTTTACCTATTGGAATATAACATAACGTCATGTTATTAAAAATGTATTAAAATATTTTTACAAAGTTTATTAATCACATCTTATACAATATTTGTAAAATAAATATAAAACTTGTGTATAAATATATTACTTGAAAATATGCCACATAAAATATTTTATTCAAAATTATACAGTTTTTTTTAATAGAGATAAATAAAAAAATACAGAATTGATTAGATACAAAAGTGTGAACCAGAAAGTCTATTTTTAAAAATGTTATTATTTAATATTATAAACGTATTTTAATTTAATTTTGAAATTAAAAAGGTAGTGTAAATAAAAATAAGGTTAGTTTTATATAAGTTGAATTAGGTTAGTTTCAGATAATAAAAAAAATAATGTTCGTTTTTAGAAAAATCACTTTAAATTTTATTTAAAAAAATGTTTTTTAACTGTTAAAACTTTGTTAAAATTAGAATTTAAATTTATATATTTAAATTGGTAAAATTCAAAGTATTTCACCGAAATTGTATTTTTAACTCGTGTAAAACGCCTCTAAGGTACGGCGGTGGCAACGTACAGCGCCACCTACCAAATGTACCCAATTCTGGGGATTCACCACATTGTGTTTTGGGACATAGAAAGTAGATTAGTCGTGCTTAGAAATATCTTCAACCTCCATCTGCTGATGTGAAAAGTTTGTATTCTGTCTTGCCTAATGGAAGCATTTTTCAGCTAAAATTATTTCACAGCAACTTAACCCAAACCCTATTGAAATAAGTAAACCACAATTAAGCCTTGCTATAGCAGCTAATGAGCCCAAGATTTTAACCATGGTTAAAACAATGGGGTGAGATACTCATTTCTGAGGAATACTGTTGGCAATTGTCTGTGAGTATATCAATACGTTAGGTTAGTTTCAGATAGGTTAAATTAGGTTACAAGAAAATAAGACCTAATCCAAATAATTTAATAAGTGAAAAAATAGTACAAAAGTGATATTGTACTGGTATAAGGTGCATAAATTAAGAAAAAGGCATCTCCTTATCGTGCAACTGAAAGTTTCTGATGGCTTGCGCCATCTTTCGGAATAAATATCAACTATTCTCGTTGATTTTTAATTATTCCAGAATTGGCCAAATACCCATTCTTGATTAATCAAGAAAAGCTAACCACGGACGTGTTTCGGGCTGTTGGCCCTCATCAGCGTGGTGCAAGCTATACCTCAACGACCAAAAAACTGGTCATTCAAGGCATCCTGAAAAATCATGAACGGGTAGTTAAGGCCAGAATTGCGTGAGAACGCTACACAATGTGAAAAAATAGTACAAATGTGATATTGTACTGGGAATGGGTGTTTGGCCAATTCTGGAATAATTAAAAATCAACGAGAATAGTTGATATTTATTCCGATAGATGGCGCAAGCCATCAGCAACTTTCAGTTGCACGATAAGGAGATGCCTTTTCTTAATTTAATAAGTGTGTGATGTTTCAGTAACAGAATTGTTACCATTATCAGACAAAAGAATAAAAATGATTTATAAAATAAATTATTTTTATAATATATCATTTTTTTATTCATTTGTCTGATGATGGTAACAATGCTGTTACTGAAACATCACACACTATTAAATTATTTGGATTAGGTCTTATTTTCTTGTAGCTATAACTATGCTCCATTGGCCCTCGATTCATGCAAAAGTCCAACCCCACCAGCGAGTGCAAGTAACCAAAAGGGGGCTCTGGCTCATTTGTATGTGCAAAGTTGAATTGCCTTTCACATGTGTAGACATGTGGTACACTTACAGTAAAAGTAGTTGCTTACTTCTACCC